AGGCGCTCCCGCTGGCGTCCGGCGGCCATGCCAGCCCGCCAGGGACCTTGGCGATCGTCTGGCCGAAAGCAGGCCGCCAGCCGTTTGCGTAAAAATGACTTCGGACGTCAGTGGCCGAAAGGAGGGGGATTTATCGACGCGCCATCGCGACAGTTGCACTTGCGCGACTAAATATAAGCGCGCGCGGGACTTCGCGACCTTCGAGCGGCGAAGACGAACGTGCCCACTGGCGAAGAGGTTACTATATATACTACATTTAACCTTATAAGCAGACAATGCGGTGGAAGTTACGTACTCGCCGGACCTGCAGTTATGCGTCTGTCTTTCACCACGTTTTCACGATCCCGTCTGCGCAGTGAACGGGACCAGGCGATGAAAGGAGTGACTATAGTGCCACCAAATAAGCTACGCTTCAGAGTAACGACACTTGGCCATATCGTGGCTTTAAAATCATGGTTGCCAGTTATCTGAAGCTCTATCTGAAATCACAGGAAACGCTTTTCCGCCCTCCAAAATTGTTTAAACAGTTCGCGACAAAGAAAAGCAATATTGCATGAGTTTCCCAACACCGAGTCTAATGCTGAGGAAGTCGTGCCACTTTTGAATCATGACGATCGGCTGTCCTGTCTGCTCTGCACAAGCACCAAAATGGCGGCGCCCACAACAATGTCGGGAAACGGAGTGCCGACACACTAAGCGCAGCTCATTTAGTGGTTCTAGGAGTGAGGTTGCTTGATTGGGCGAGTGTGTAGCTCCCATCAACCGGCAGCTTGGAGGAGGAGGTGTACGAAGAACACGAACAAACAAACGAACAACGTGTACTCGGAGTTTTCCAAGACTCCTGAAGCGGTCACCATGCTCTCAGAAATCTCTAATCTCTGGTGTCTTTATCGCACCGTAATCCTGGAAAGCTTCTAAACAAACAAAAAATAAATTCGCGTGAATGAAAAAAAAGAAAACTACATTTACCGCAGTTGACGCGCCACAGCTCACAGATCTGCAATTTGTCAATCGCCTAGCATCGAGCACGTCTGCCAGTGCAGCTGGGTAGCAGCTGCGGCTTCCTCCTGGCATTGGGTGTCGCGAGTGAAACGGCACGTCTAGGTGCGATGTTGCACGCGTGTGCCCAAGTGTTTCTCTCAGTTTTTATATAAACAGGTTTTTTTTAGCAGTAAATGCATTTTCTGCGCTACTACCCTCATTTTGAACCCGTGTGCAGTATGAAAAACTAAAAATAACTGCTCTCAGGGTGCGCGTGGGATTGTTAAATGATCGAAAAAGATTTCACGGAATGGGGGAATTTATGGAACCGCATCTCTCGACTGTACTGACTGTGAATGATAACTAAACTCAGACTTGTGAAGCTACACAGTGTAGCTTTTTTTTTTTCCTGTCCCTTTTACGATTATGTAGTCATTAAGAAATGAATAGATGAGAACTTCTACAAAATTTCTTTAGGCTAATTTCGAACACAGTAAGTCGGAACACAATCAGGCAAAAGTGTGTTTCCGTGTTTTGAACGTGACACAAAAGTGGATATGTTCATATCTGTTGGCGTAGTTCCTACTAATGCAGGTTGTAGGCTTTCCTATTGTTTCTGGGGAAGTAGGAATACAAGTTTGAACGAAGGATTAGATATGAAAAGAGCTCGCGAGGATTCAAATATCTACTTTCGCGCTTTGCTTTAGACCGCAGAATTTTGTAAATCAATCTGGCACCTTGCACGCGTACCTTTATGGAAAAAAAAATATAGCGCAATAATTGATTTTCTTTGTTCGGGTATATGAAATACTGCCACAGAAACGATAAGCACAGCGTAATAATGAGATAATGTGCTCTATGTCTGTGCAAGTAATATGCTGCTAAGCACCTGTGTCCTGTTTCCTGTTTTCGGTGCCTCTCGCAGTCCGTCGATATTCCATTTTTGGGCGACGTCATAAAACGTGTCGCCGTCAGTGACGTCGACACTTTTTGCGAGTTTGATGCATTCGTTCTGTCACCCCACCTTGTTTACGTGCTGATCTTTAAGCGTTTGAGCGCAACCAGCGTCCATTTTAGAGATTTAATCTCTTTAAGGCTGGAAGAAAATTTGCGTTTGAGCGCCATCAACTGCACCGCGACCGCCTGTGATTGGTTGCGACAAGAGAGCACGCTGGCGCCATCTCTCGGGCAGCCCTTAAACATTTCAGATCTGCGTCACGCGTCATTTTTTTCATCGCATGTTTTAAATAATTCTCACAACATATTATAAGCGACCATCTCTCACGAATAGTGCGTATATTTGATTTCGTGAATACTGCGAAGCGTTCAGTCTTTTCTGCAAGTGCGCCGCCATCTTGAATTGACGTCACTTCCAGTATGGGCGAAAACATTGTTTTGCCTTTGCCACGACCAATAGAAGGCATTCAGGATATAAGCGTAACCGTCTCACTTTCTCGTTTTGCCTCCCCTTTATTTTTTTTACAATTTGCAGGTTGAAACGTTGGATTATTTTTTCGTCGCCCATACCGGATACGCCTATTAGGTAGCTGGGGACGAGAGTAGACAGAAAAGATCTATAGTTATCCGCACATCGGAAGTGTTAAAAACAAATGTGCGAACCAGTCTTGGCACTGGAAAAAAAGTCGCACAGACACAATAGGCCGAAGCCGCTTGGCAGCAGTTTCGCCCTGAAGGCGATTAAAAGATGCGAGCGCGGGATCTTCACGCTCCAGAGCACGTCGTGCTTGACGATGACGTCAACAACAAAAGGCTCCTTCCAGAGGGCGCGACCTTTGAAGGGTACTTTCCGACGGGGAAAATGTGCGAGTACAATCGGGTCTCGATTACGTCGACGGCGGTGTGTAATCTATGCAAATGCAGGCAGGTCCGACAGTTAATGTAGTCACTCTACGCTTTGTACATTGTTTGCTCCCAGGCAGACGTTCGTCGGTTAATGGGATTGCGCCAGATTTTGTGCATTTGTCGGCTCCCATGCAAACCCGCGGGCGTCCGTCGGTTAATGTAATCGTTCTACACTATGCACACTTTTGGGTCCCGTGCACATGCAAGCAACCAGCGGTTAATGGAATCACTCTACATCTTGTACGTTGTGAACTCCCATGAAAATGCAGGCAGCTGACGATTAACCTAATCCCTCTCTAGACCTTGTACATTGTCGGCTCCCATGCAAATGAAAGCGTTCGTCGCTTATACTATGATCACTCGAGATTTTGTACAGCCCCTGCTCCCATGTAAATGCACAAATCTATCTTTGAATGTTATTACTTCACATTTTGTACACGTCTGATTCCGATGCAAAGGCATGCAACCGTCGGTTAATGTAATCACTCCACATTTTGTACATTGTCGGCTCTAATGCAGACGCCGGCGACCGTCGGTTAATGCGATAACCGCTCCATATTTTGTACGCCGTCGGCTTCGAACAATAATAGAGCCTCCCGAAGTTTCCAGGGTCGCCGAATGTGGTAAGGCTGGTGTCGAAAACGGAAGTTCCCCGTTCGGTTGCTCTGTCCACGAGTTTACCTCCGTCGCAGCTGCTCCTATCTTTAAATCATCTCGAGCCAAGAACTTGAGACCTCCAACTTGTGTGTTCAAGATCATATCTTTTTGTAGACAAGAATAAAATCGTAAGCAAGTCGAATTCACCGCTGTATGAATGGAAAATGTAGCCAGTGTAGTATACGACTGGTTACAGGGTGCGATACTTTTGAATCTCTGGTGAGGAACACTTCTCTTGTCCCGGCATAATGTCTACTTACGCCGAAGTCATTGAAAAGAGTATGGGATATATTAAAAAAAAGAGTATATTTAAATCAGTAATTTATACACCCCCCCCCCCCCCCCCCCGGCCCGGAGATCCTCCCAATAAAATTGACAATCATGACAAAAAAAAAAAAAAAAAAAAAAGATGGAGACATGAAGGTTGTATTATCTATAGCCGGCGACAGGTTCAGAGTAAACTGGAAGCTCCTCCCACCCCTTTCCACTTTGGCAGAGCGAACGCTGGTGAGGAGGCGACCTCCTCTACAGCGTTCGTTCTGCTAAAGTGGAACGAGGTGGGGAGAGCTTCCACTTCGTCCTTTATATGTCACCGACTATAGCAACGGTATTTACCCATGGACAAATTTCATGGCTTCGGATGTTTCATTTTGACACCGCTTTGTTTCTGAAATCTGCAATTCGTTGCCTTTTGATGAAAACAAAAACGGCCACGTCAAGTTATCGTGTATTATTTGGCCTATTGCTTGATAAGAACAGCCGGTGCGGCTCCGCCCCCAAATTCCCAAAGTGAAATAGCGCCGTCTCAATTACTCAATATGAACGCGTTAACTATTCTTATGCTCCCAAGGCATAATGTCAATAAGACTACCCCCAAAAAACACAAACACATAGGAAAACACACACACGCACAATATTTTTCTCTCTTACCTCCCCCCATCGTCAAACTGCCGCTTTTTTTACCTCTTCGTTATCTGCAACAAGTTCAAATACCCAACAAAAATAGTCCATACCTCACTGTCAACCTCATCAAGGTAGTCGACAAAAACGAATTCTTGAGAGTCCCAGCCCTGTTAGTTTTTTTTTTTTTTATTGATAAAGTGACATATAATGATAATGCTGTAAAAATGAATGAAGACAGTATTCGTTATAATAGTCGAATTGACAAGAAAACAGCACTTTTAAAGTGCGTCTCTTTTGTGGCTTTCATTTATGCCTGAAATAATTTAAATAATTTCCCAATTTCGGCTTTTCGCAGAGCTGCACCCCTTTTCTAAAGTATTTGCTGACAGACATACCACAAGAGGTTTGCAAATAAAGCCAAAACAAAAATAAGGAACGCCGTGAGCTCCGATCATGAAATGTTCAGAAAAAAAAAAATCACAAATGAGAAATTCTTGGTCTGTCTCTGAGTTTGCTATGGAGCCAGATGTCATACGAGCTCGGTTCAGTCATCGACCCAGCGATAACAACGGTCAGAAACCAACAAAAACACTCACCGTCCTCTTCGTTCCACGTGTCCAAGAAATGTTGTCGCAACTCCTTAATCTGATCCTGCGTCACTGCTTCCCAGTGCTTCTCTTCCCCGAAGACATCGTTGTCCAAGCTCAGCATGTAAGGCATGGCTGTAGTGCAGTTCGGTCCACCAAGTCCCAAGTTTTCCAAGCAACGGCTACCAATAAACACCTCACAGCGCTATGACCGAGGCACAAGCAGCCGCGACCACCCTCAACCGATTCAAGTTTCGCTTTCAAGCCTGACGCACTTTCACGCGCCCTTTTGGCCGCTCAACCGCGCGCGCTCCTGGAGCTGTCAAGGCCGACGAGTGACGTCACATCCGGCGGCGAGGCGGGCTGTCTCACTTCCGGCCCGTGGCTAGGAAAGCCTGAACAGCTACGAACACGACCGACGCACTCGAAGCGGTAAAAAGTTGACGCGCGCTGGGGACCCGCAAGGTTAACCGGTTGGCAGGGGGACGTTCTTTACGAAGACGGTGGTAGTTTACCCCGGGGTTTTTGATGTAGCGCCGGCTCTTGGTCCAAGTGTACGTGCTCGTTGGGAAGGCAGCTGACGGTAGCGCCGGCCACCTGTGAGTGATTCGTCGTGGACTGTCCCGCCGGCAGATGCGCTCGATCTTTGTTATCGAGCGCAACTGGTTTCCAAGAAATACAAAAACGAAAAAAAAAAAAAAAATGTAGATACACGGGCGTGCGGCTGCGGTTCGACACGATACCGCGTCGAGCGAAAAACAGCTGTGGTACGCGCTCGCGATGTAAACTCCGTAGGGGGCGTGGAACATATGACGGGACGCTTTTTTTCTTTTGTTTTGTTTGATAGTGCCGCGTGTCATATGGCGTGACGGATGCATAGACAGGCGGATGCGTATAATGAATGTGATGCGTAAAATTGGATGACAACTTGCGCCGTCTATCTGCTATGGCTGGTCCTTTTATTACGGAACCAGGGGCACTGTTAGGGGGCGTGTCCGCCCTATTTTAAAAGGGTTTTGGTGCGTCTGAGTGACCGACTGACGGACTGAATGACTGACAAATGAAACACATTCTGACCTAAAGAATCCATGGAATGAGACACAGGTCCGGAAAAGATGCTCGCCTATTTGTTTATCTTTTTTTTTTTTTGTGCATAATTATGCTTTTGGATGCTTGTTGTTGCTTCCTCTAAGTATGAGGGAGTTCAGCACAAATTAGATCAACAAATTTTTTTAATTATAATATAAAGTTCTATATGTTTCCCAATGCAAATTATTTGATGCCATCAGATGTACTAAGCAACAACCAGAATTGACCATGATCCGCAATTCCGCATCAATTATTGTTAATTTGTTTACACAATCAACGGCAATCCCGCCGCGTTCGATTGAGTTTCTTGGCTGTTTAAAATTGTCTGTGAGGTTGCATGGTCTCACGAATTTTGTACAAGGTAGGTCTAGAAATCAGCGTTTAAGGTTGTATTCATGGTGCAGAATGTTGGTATAAGTAGTCTGGATGTATCATATAATCAATATTCTGTATATGTGATTGGTCGGGCAGGATTAGTTGTAATTTACAATACTTAGTGATTTGCTTTCCGCTAAGCTGAAGCCCCTAGGAAACACCTGACGTGTCTGTATTGCAAGTAGTTTGTGCATGAGATATATCTATGTGATAAAGAAAATAACCTAAAGTCTTAGTAAAACATATAAAATAGCGCAACAGAAACAAGGACAAGAAGTAAACAGGACAGGCGCTATTTTATATGTTTTATATGTTTTAGCGCCTGTCCTGTTTACTTCTTGTCCTTGTTTCTGTTGCGCTATTTTATATGTTTTACTAAGATGAACCAACTAGCCCAACAACGTACCTTACTGAACCTAAAGTCTGATGTTCTCACAAATTTCATCTTCTTCGGAGCGCGCACATTTCTGATGTCGTATTTCCCTTCAAAAGCATATTTTTATATGACGAGTGAAAATGATTTCTATAATGTTAGAATCTACCTGATTGTGTATGTTTCTTAAATGAAATAATTTTAAACCAGTTTTGACGTGTAACCTCTAATTTAACACCTTTAAAATCCCATTTCTGTGCCTGAGTGCTTTTATGCACGGTTAATAAGTGAATTAAGTTGAATTTATTTTTTTTATTGATTATTAAATAATTCAGGGCCCGAACTCGGCAGAGATGTTTTTGCAACATTACGCATAGATATACCATAGAAAAATGCAAGAAATAAAAGATCACCATAAAATACCAGCTAAAAATTTGCAATTACAATTTTAAATGATTTTAGTTAAAGGGACACTGACCCCCCTCAATTTTTTTTTTTTTCATTTTTTGTTTGACGATTTATATGGCGTCAAAAGACTACACAATCAATATTTTGCTACAAAGTCAGGTATGGTTTTAATCAGGGTGTGGAACCGGAACCGAACCGAACCGAAAACCGGAACCGAACCGGTATTTTTTCCGGAACTGAACCCGAACCCGAACCGTTATATTGTTATCGCGATGAACCCGAACCGGAACCGAACGGGAAAAAAAATAACGGTTACCGGCTCATGTCAAAACGGTTCGGCCACGCGCTGTTGACAATGAATGTGCTATCAATGCCACTTGTTTTTTAAGTGCCGTCAACTGACACACACCTCGCTTACATATTTTTCTTCTCCACTCAGTCTTAGGAATATAAACGCTGCATCCATGAATCTTGACAAACGCTGCATCCATGAATCTTGACATAGGAACCAGTATTGCGCTGGTTGCGGCTTGCACGGAAGAAAAAAATTAAAAAGCTGTGCAAAAAAAAAAAAAAAATCGCGTCACGGGATTTTATTTTCTTACAATCTCGTAAATCCTAAATGCTGCTGTGTGCTCATTTCATAACACGTTTCTAGACGCGCGAGTTCTTGAAGCTTGCTTCCATCGGAATGAGAAAAGAAAAGGCTGTGGAGTTTGATAATAATGCATCCGGTTTCGTATAGGCACTTAGAAGCTAACATATTTGTGAGACAGCCAACTCTTCTATTTTAATATTTATCCTATTACGTCCTTCTGGCGTTGCGTTCGGTAAAGTGTTTTTCATATTCCGTATCGTGTTTAATGAAAACTTCTTTAAGGGTCTAATTTGAGTTACCAAAGGCTAGTTCAAATAAAGAAAGCTGTATTTTCTCCCCACTGTTCCTTCAATTGCTTACACGCCGAGGTGGCGGGATAGTTAGCGAGTTCTACTTGTAAGTGGGTTTGTAAGGAGGTCGCGGATTTTACAGCTACTGCGTCGGACCCAATTAGATGAAGTCCGAATGCGTAAACGTCGGTGAGGTAACCTTTGAGAGCACATAAAGAAACCATTCCTGGTAGAAATCCCTGAGCCTTACACTACGATGTATCCCGTTTCGTATGTGCTGATTTCAGATGTTTTATTTGTAATTTATTTTGATGTTGCAATTTGTCATTTATAATTTCCGAACCGGTTCGCGAACCGGTTCAGCGCCCCGAACCGGTTCGCGGATCGAATTAATCGAACCGGAACTGAGCCGGAACAAAATAAATTTACCTGAACCTGAACCGTAACCGAACCCGTATTTTTTTCGGTTCGACACACTGGTTTTAATAAAGTCAAAAAAGCGCAACTGCTCAAAACCGAAACAAAAACTGAGGAGGAAGAAGAAGTATAGAGGAGGAGAGAGTTGGGCGGAAATCACCTGGCTGTGCAAATTTTTATTTTTTCAATTAACGTATTTGCAGCTTTTTAAAAACCACAGCAAATGAGTATCATATTTCTTTTCTATTTTTAATATTGAGTGTGTGCCTTTGATGACCCACAACTTTGTTTATATTTGGTGGTTGTGCCTAAACCATGGGTGGTCACGCTGCGGCTCGCGAGCCGCATGCGGCTCTTTGCGTGTTAAAGTGGGGCTCGCGGACCTCTCCCCTCCCCCGCCTACTTCCTGGTCACTCGAGCACTTCCCCCAGAAAAGAAATGGAACGCGTTTTAAATCCAAAGACAGGTTGCGGTTTGGTAGTCTTGGGCTACTGCTACCTTACCTACACTTGGACTGCTATTGAGTCGGAGAAATTGAAAGTAATTCGTTCTTTTTTTTTCGTTTTTTTTTTTTTTTGCTTTAGACAAACGTTTGCCCCCCCCCCCCCCCTTTTTTTTTTTTCTTCTTTTTGTGGCTTTTGGAAGTTTTTTGGTTTTGTTTGCGGCTCTTAGGCCGGGTCAGCCTGGCCACCCCTGGTCTAAACCATAGAAAATGGCACGTCACCACGGAGAAGAAAGTGCAGTGCGACTCAAACCGGCCAGTTCTCGATCGGCGGTTTTTCTGGGGAAAGAAGACGAATTTCGAGCCGCAAATTGCGCTCTGGGTAGTTGTGCTCTCATATGTCATGTACAAACAATACCCTTGGCAACAATAAATGTCCTGTGAGTGTCCCTTTGATAATAATAATAAAAGAGACTGTCGTCACGGGACGGATATCCTAATAAACAGAGTACCTGGCAAGAGTTCGTGTACCGTCTCAAAAATGTAAACTTTTTTTCATATATCTTATTTCCTCGAAGTACATGAATTTATTCATTCCATTTATACCGAACCGTTCATCTTTTTCGTGCGTCTGCTATCCGTGACTACTGCAGAGTGAATGCACCGCAAGCATGCGCCTTTTTTTTTCGTGATTGGTTTACTTTGTGATAGCAAACTGACAAAGACAAGGAGCGCCGTGACGACGCACTTTTTATCGCTGCTTGGCTGGCTCCGTCGAGTCATAGCGCCAGCATGCAGAGTGAAAATAAGCAGGCGCGGGAAAAGGCTCTTGCACCATCGGGCCAATGCATCAAATGTGTTATTTTTTTATTTTTTTTTTTTGTTAAATTGACTGAGGGCATCTGAAACTCCCAGTGGAGGATTGGGGATTAGGTTTGCCCACCTGGGGCTCTTCTGACTTAAAACCGAAATCTCGGTTACGCGGCTCCTTTTCCGCAAAAAGCCTTAGTCAGATTGTGGATTCGCCGCTTGGGGATTCGGTGACCGGCTCTTTGCCTCTAGTCCACCGACACTATATATATATATATTTTTTTAAAGCGCAACTTTTATGCGCTTGCTTCCGCGCATATCGGCGTCGGTGTCGGCGTAACAGCCCCGTTAAATTTAGCGAGAAATTGAATTGGTGTTGAGGTCACGTGGCGTGACCTCAAGTGAAGAGTGAACGTAGACTGCTTTGATGGGTGCTCAAGATGCTCCGGCGCACGAGCGCCCATAGCTTTGACAACATTGTGCATAGCCGCACAATGCTGTCCGCAAGTATTGTGCGCTGACTCTGGCTTAGCGTAACTGCAGTTAATACCCCATTCACACGACCGTAAAGCTACCTTTAGCTAAGGGACGTTTATTCTCTGCGGCCAATCAATTACCGATCTTCCGCGCGTGGCGTCTGCTCGCGACCCAAAATCACGGGCTGATTCGCCCATAGCAAAGGAACTTATGTTAAAGGTACCTTTATGTTGACCGTGTGAATGAGGCATAAGTGTGCCCATAAACCGAGGGTATTAGTGTTGCCAACTGCTCAGACAAGGACACACGCTTGGTGCTAGGTTATCGAACCTTGCACACTTCTTTCAAACGGTGCATGTGTTCTACAGATTCAGAATACCTATACACTGGTTTAATATTTATATTTCATGACGTACGGTCACATGGCACCGCTATATCCTATGCAGGCCAAGGAGCATGATCATATAAGAACAGCCTTCTCCTTGGA